GCCCACTTTTTGTAAGCTTTTTATGACCTTTAAAGTTTGCGGCTTAAAGCCCAACCCCGTGAGCCTCATGTGACCCCATAATTATGTTTGGCCAAGTGGGACTGCTAACGACTGCTGTTCTGAGAAAAGACCGTGGGGCCTTTCTGCCTGCTGTTTCGAAGAATGTTCCAGCCCCAGCAAAAATAAATCAAGACCTTGACATTGCATAGATGGACTCTGGTCCTTTTTCTTGCGCTGCAGGGTCTCCTTCCTTTCTTTCGCCCATGACTCTTTCAGGCAGCCCCCCTTCGGAACCCTGAATGACTGGACCCGAGACGGTCAAGTGGCGCCTGACCAGGGGACCTGAAGTACGGTTAAGCTGTCGGATGTCGGAAAGACAGCCCGGGACAAAGAGGATCCTGCAGACAGCCAGACTCGAGCTCTCTCCAGGTGGAGGTAAGGTACCAATCATTGCTGTCCAAATGCCATGGGTACTTTCATTAGTAAGGAGTTGCAATTTATAAGAAAACTCAAGACTATTTAGGGAGAAAGGAGTAAGAGTTAAAAAGGAGAAGATAAAAAGAAATGAGTCAAAAAGAAAAATTTAGTTCATTTTTTTCTGTTTTATTGATAAAGCTTGTCTATGGTTGATTTTAATGGGACCAGACATAGCTCCCCAGACCTGGGAAAAGGTTGGGAGAGTTACTTTGCCCACAGCGGGGGACTTGCAAGCCGCCCACAGCGAAAAATGCTGCTGGCAGCATTTCTTAGAGGCGGTCAAGCTTGGGGGCTGCAACTTACAGCCTTGGGAGATGCCGCCATGGTTGATGGCTAATTAATGTATATAAATGCTATTGATACAGCCAGACAGAAACTGTTTTTGAGACTTATAGAAAAGGCAACATATTTAAGCTTAGAATTGTTCAAATTTTGGATGCTCATAATTCAATGATTGACTATAGCTAATATGTTAAAAATTTAAATAGGGATTTTTCTTTACAACAAGCTGATCATAACCTAGGCAAAAGGAGAAATATGAGACATATGCAAGTTATGAATGAACGGTGTGGCCACACTTGGATGCATGATGTGATTGTGAATTTATGAATGCGGATGAATGGAAATACCTAAATTGCCTTGGATATGAGTAGAGATATTTACATTGCCTCAGATATTGTTTAAAAAATATCAAAATCACTTTAATATGGTCAAAAAGAGCATCCAGTCAGTCAGTCAGTCAATGTCTTAACAGGGGAAATTATGATTTGAGCCCTAGGATACAGGCAATGTAAAAGTTAGTAAAAAGCCTATATAGCATTAGCTTAGAGACATGAGAAATCTATGGATGATTCTGTAAAATTTGGCAGATGAGAGGATACAGATCTTCCTAGATTTTTTTGGTTAAAAAAGGACACCTAGAAAATAAAGGTTGATGCATGATTTTGAGAAGGGTTTGTGAGAAGCCTCAAGAAAGAGCCAACCTGTTAGATTCACAGCTTGGCAGGTCAGCTAACATGTAAATGAGATCTTATCAGCTTGTCAGCCTCGAAGGTTAGATTAGAAAAGGCTA